TTCTGTTGACTTCAACCTCTCCCAAACTCTGTCCTTTATTCCTACAGCACTTTCCTTTGTGCCCTATGTTGTCAGCAAGGACCATTCCAGTTAATCTAAGCTAAAGCTGCTTTTTAGCTTGGAGTTGGAGCCTTGACTTCGGTCCCCCAACAGGCCTCAACCCAGCCTACCCATCTCAGGGAATACTGAAGCTATGAATCTGAAATAACCCTTCGTCTCCCCTCTTCATCAACTAGCAAGAACTACCTTCATTTGAGCATAGTAATTCAGCTGTTTTCTGCAATCATTTCATTTGTGTTGTCTCAGCATCACCTTTTTGCTCTTTCAACCCTCTCCATATCTTTGTAACTGATTCCCTATATGAAATTCTGTTGAAATCACTAGGGTGTTTGTTATTATTCCTTTACTAAGACCTAAATCTCAGAAGTAGTATAATATTTTTAATCATAGCAGACTATCTGGTATACTTGTCAGCCACAACATTTTTGTTGTTATTGTTTTATTTGAGACAAAGTCTCCCTAAGTTGACCAAACTGGCCTAGAACTTTCGATCTTCCTGTCTCAGTCTCCCTGGGAAGCTGGGATTACAGATACACACCACCAGGCCTAGCTACAAAGTTGTGTTTTTGGAAATTTTCTTATTAATTATAATTCCTTTATTTCAGGTTCACTCAAAAAATAATGAATTTAAAATTTGGAGAGTTTTAAAATGACATCCAAACTTTAAAAATAATATTCAATTTTTTGTTAATAAAAATGACAATCCTATAATTTCACTTCCTCATTATTCTTTCTAATCAATAATTTTTAAAAGGATTGTGGTAGGTGCTTGCTTTGACAGCACATACACTATAATTAGAACAATACAGAGATCAGCATGACCCCTGTGCAAGAACAACATGCAAATTCGTGAAGCATTCTTTTTTTTTTCCCCATTTGTCCACTCAAGTTGAACTATGTTCAGTAACTTTACTACTGGACACTTTCTCGCCCTTCTTACCACCCATTAAGGATACCTGGGCTTTGTATTCTTCTCCCCTCTGGTACTAGAAATGAAACCCAGGCTTTGTGCATACTAAGAACTTCACCACTGATTTACATCACCAGTCTATCTCATGTTTGTATTTTCTATATATCATCTACCCTTCTGCTTTTTGCCATATCCTAACACAGTATGAGGCCCTTGCCAGATATAGTACCCAATCTTGAATTTCCAACCTCCAGAACCATGAGCTAAATGAACTATATCTTCTTTTTTTCTTTGTTTTTTTAAAAAGACAATGGTAAGAAAGTTCTATGGAGAAATCTAATTTAGAGCTAAACTTCAATCCTCTACACGAGGCCCTTGGAAGGCAGTAAATTAAAGCAAAGTAAACAGGAATACTATACTGGTTTATTATTTCAATTTTTAAAAAACCCATTCCATGGCAACAACTTTGAGCACCTTATACATGCGGGCACATGTGAGTACACACATTCTGTTTCAGAGATAAGCTTGAGAATTGAATTGTTTGATTTTTAAAATGGGCACTTTTATAAACGAGAAAACCTGCATTTATATATTCTAAAGGCATAATGGTCAAGGTTGAAAATAAACCCTATCTTCTCTATGTGCCCTTAATATATTAAACAATGGATAAACATACTATACACCTGTCTGGGTCATCACATAAATGACAAATACTTCCGTTAGTAAATGACTAAAATCCCATTATTAATTTGGGAAGTGTTTTTTCTTTGTTTTGGTGATGGTGGTACTGAGTTTGTTCTTATGACTGTATATGTCACACACATTATAAGTATATTTTGTTGGAATATAAGTATATTGTCTAAAGAAAGAAACCTTGAAGGAAGAGCCAAGAACACTTGCTTACATTCTTAACTCCATCATCATCATGTTCTATCTTCTGGATCATATGCTTCAATGTCTGTCTGCCTATAAAATTAGGGATAATAATGTCTATCTTTATTAGCTTACAACTGAAATAAAAATTGTAAGAACAAAGTTGTTTTTTAAAAAAAAAAGTTGTGAGACAAAGACACTACATATATGTATTGATTTTCTATTTTTTTATCCATAGGAAAAAATCTTAAAACAAAAGTTGTGACATGCCTTTCTTATGAATGTTCAAGAAGAGAGACACTATAGAAGAAAAGGCATGGCTTTTAAAAAGAGAAACTCAAAGACGGTATTTACAATGTTCTAATATATTTGTGACATTGTTCAAACCCATGTAAACTTGGAGAGTTTTGCAGCTGTGGAACAATCACAATTGGATGAGGAAAAAATATGTCAGTTGCCTAGTAAAGTACCTTCAGCATTCAAAAAATGTTAGTTTCTTCTCCCTAAACTTAGGGGTACATTAAAAATCACAGACCCACTTTTAGATTTACATAAAAATCTTACTTCAAAAAATGCAATAAAGCATAAGGATTCCTCCCCAACAAAAAAATACACACACACACACTCACACACACTAATTAATTTTTTAAAACCTCCTTTAGGTTGTTTATAATTAATACACTGGGGGATAGGTAACTAGAGATTGAACCCAGGGAGCCACATCCCTATCCACCCGCCCCCCCTTTTTTTTGAGACAGGGTCTCCCTAAGTTGCTTAGAGGCTTGCTTAGCTGCTGGCTGGCCTTGAACTTGTGATCCTCCTGCCTCAGCCTCACAATCCACTGTGATTACGGGCGTGTACCTCCAGACTTGGCCTACTTAATATAATTTTTTTATAACTAACTTCTGTTAAAAAAAATTTTTAAACTAAATATCATTTCTGTGAGTATTTAATTCCTTCTATCAAAAAGTTCAATATGTCATAAGAACACTGAATAATAGAGCTATTTCAATAAACTATGGAATCTGTTAAGGCATGAACTGACAAATTAGAGTCAACTGTATACACACACTATATTCAACTTTATTTAAAAATCAAACATACAAAACAATGGTTCTTTTAAGTCCCTTCATGTACAATTTCTAGCATTGTATCTTCTGCTTTCTGTGTTAAACCTATGAGAAAACAAGGAGCCCTTTTTCATTTTTCTTCTGCTCAGTGGACACACAAGAGGAACTTTCATTTATGTCAAACCCACAGTGATTTCAAAAAAGAAAACAATAAGGAAATAGTTGAAAAAAACATACAAGATTCAAATGACTTTCTTATACAGACATTAAGATTCATTCCTTTAATTTGAAAGAAGCAAACAAAATCCAATCTGATCAAATTTAAACCCCAAATATTATAGAAACTTTATTAGAAAACGATTCAGTTCTGAATTTCTAGTCAAAAAATATATTAGGTAAAAGTATCATCTGTAACAAGAGAGTCAGAATGCTTCCAGGGGAAAGGGAATTTCTACATTCAATCATAGCAAATGCTATCAATTTTAAAATATATCCAGTTTGTACTCAGAAACTAGTAGCCAAACCCATAAGGGCTTACCACAACAAACAGTGTGGCACACAAAAACATGGTAATTAACACTTAAGAATGAAACTGGAGTCGTATTTAGCAGTCTAAACTTTCTACCCCAATAAATTAAAAACTGAGCATGAAAGAAGTTTCTGTAATCATCTGGTTTGCTTTCTAGACAGGGCTTCAATAGAACTGAATTGCTTTTGAACACACACACACAAACACACACACACACACACACACACACACACAAATGGCTGGTACAGATTTTGGAAGCCAGCCACATTTACTCTGGATAAAACTCTGACAATTTTTTAAAAGGGCGTGGGGGAACAGGCTTCACCTAGAACCATTCATTAATCATTAAGGGTGGTACAAGTACCAAGAGAATTTGCTTTCATCCTAAATATACAGTTTCCTACAAAATGTAGCACATTTTGCAATTCAGGACGAAATTTTTTTGAAGCTGTTGCAAGAGCACTTTTATTTGTCTCCAAAACAACTTTATTCCTAGTCCACTGTTTTCTATTTGCCTCATCTGTACTTAGTAGAGCATGCTTCAGTGATTTAGCAATCCCAGCCTCCAAAACACAGCCAAAGTTTGAATTGAGAAGGGTAGGCAGGGGTGGGAGGAGATCAAGTAATTACACTACACTTGGAAGGGGGAATGGTTTTACCTTCTATGACTTTTTAGTTTGTTCTTTTTTATTAATTTTTTTTAAATTTCTAGTTGTAGGTGGACATAATCCCTCCATTTTATTTATTTATATGTGGTCCTGAGAATTAAACCCAGTGCCCCACACATAGCAGGCACCAGGTATTTTTAACTTAATGTTTTAACTATTATGGTTCTCTTGGCTTCATCTTCCAATTTTACCTTTTGACTAAGAATTAAAATCAACAAAACCAGTCCACATGTTAACACTGTGTGTTTCAGAAAAAACAGTTCAGTGTTCTGTAAAGTTTCATTATTAAGAATTTACTCAAATTGTTGAATGCCATCATATGATTTAGAAACCGAAATGCGGAGTGGGGAGTTATAGTCATCTTGGAGATAAAGGCTGAATAGTTAACATTATGACAAACATACTCTGAACCATGTTTCATTTTCTCAGTGCCAATCAACGGTTTAAAGAATTCGGTTCCTTCCATCCTATAAAACAAGAGATGACCTTTAAAAGTTTTCTTAATAATAAAATAAACAACCTTAAAAGATGATGTTACCCAATACAAAAAAATATTATACAGTTAAAAGTTGGAGACTTTATGGACTTAATATAACAAAAAAATGTCTGAAAGAACAATGAACTTTCACAACAAAAATCAAATCCTCTATTAAAAAGTGAAACAAAGAGGGCTGCTTTTGTGGCAGTGGTACAGTGCTTGCCTGGCACACGTGAGGCATTGGGTTTGATTCTCAGCACCACATAAAAACAAAATAAGGATATTGTGTCCACATACAACTAAATATATATATATATATATATATATATATATATATATATATATATATTTTTTTTTTTTTTTAATTGAAACAAAAAATTAACAACTTTCTATTTTATACTTTACAACATACCTTTGTAGAATGCCATTTTCCTGGGGTATTACACCATTGATAGCTGCCTGCAAACAAGAAACAGAGAAGGCCATTAATAAAACAAAAACAGATAACTGTACAAGGGGGATAGGGAACACTGTAAAGGGGAAGTATAGTTTGAAATATGTATAAGAGCAAAGTAATTCCTTAATGATATGAAATATGAAATACTCTTCCTCTCTTTCTCTCTCTTTGGGGGGTGGGGAGGTTACAGACAATTGAACACAGGGATGCTCTACCACTGAGCTATACTCCAGTTCTTTTTGTTTATTTAGTTTTTCTTTTTCTTTCTTTTTTAAATGTGGTGCTGGTTGGGCTGGGGATGTGGCTCAAGCGGTAGCACGCTCGCCTGGCATGTGTGCGGCCTGGGTTCGATCCTCAGCACCACATACAAAGATGTTGTGTCCGCTGAAAACTAAAAAAAAATAAATAAATATTAAAAAAAAATAAATAAATAAATAAATAAATGTGGTGCTGGGGATCGAACCCAGTGCCTCACGGGTACTAGGGAAGCACTCTACCACTTAGCCACAACCCCTATCCTATACCCTAGTCCTTTTTATCTTGTATTTTGAGATAGGGTTTTTCACAAATCGCTGAGGATGACCTGGAACTTTCGATCTCCCTGCTTCAGCCTCTCAAGTTACTGTGATTATAGGAATGCGCCAGGCACCAAAACATTAAATGTTTCTCTACTTCTTGATACTAAAACAGTATTTTAGAAAATTTTTTAAAGATCTATGCATTTGGCACAGAAATTCTCATTTAAGCAAAACATCCATAAAAACAATGCCTAAGAATGTCAGAACAAGTAAAATCAATATCTTAAACTAATCTTTTTAACATTATTTCTTTCATCAGATTGAGAGGTTTAACAGTCACAAATGAAAATCTCAATGAGAATGCAAAAATTAGTGAAGAATTAAATTCATTCTTTGATATAATAATCATTATTCTTAATGAAAATAACATTGATAAAGGAAAGAATGTAGAGGTAAAAGTTATTTGATAAACCTAACATCATGACTATATAAGGTGAACAAAAGAAAGCAGTATTACAGGAGATGTTTCCTTATAAAAATATTTCTGACACTGTTCTCTTAACTAATAAGTTCCCAAGTAGTAAGCATAGCACAGGTATGAAATGACATGAATGTTTTTGAGGGCTACTAAGCAGGCAAGCTGTCCCATCCAGGACTATGGGCAGCTCTCTGCAGGGTAAGTGATATTCTCTGGGGAAAACAACAACAGAAAAAACAAAATCACAACCTTTCCATCTTTGCTTTTCTACCATACCAATTTCTTCTTTCCTTCCCTTGCCCATTCACAAAAAAAAAAAAAAAAAAAAAGAAAATGAAAATTAAACACAAACACATGAACAACTAAGACTTCAATGTTTAATCAGCTACCTGGAAACCAAGTGCCAAAAGGAGTTCATGTATTCTGAAAAACATTAATTTACATATTTGTCAGAGTGGGGTCAATTTTACAGTGGTGAACTGCTGAATGGAGATAGATAAAGCAAAGGGTAAGATACTTGCTATAAATTTTGAGAGTTGTAAAGTTCCACTGGTTAAAAAAAAATAAGAAAAGAAAGAAAGAAATCCACAGATTAATATAGCAGAGGATACACAGACATCTAAAAACTGACAAGTCTGGAAACTTTTCAATTAAGTCAAGCAAGTGGTAAAATTGGTTTTCAAGATCGCAGATTCAATAGAAGCATCTTTTCCTAGTGACAGGTCAATTATCCCCCTTGTTGAAAGCAAAGTTTCTAAATATAAATATCTCACAAATATTAAATAACAGAAAATGTTTAAGAAAATACTCTCCAATGTTGGAAAAGAACTAAAATATTAGAGCTTAGTAAGATTTTGGTTCACATTTTCACTAGGGAATGCCACCGTATAATGGAAAAAAATATTAAGGGTTGAGAAAATGCAAACTTTGGATCTAGTCTCTCATATCAAAGATTTGATCAGACACTTCTCAAAAGAATATAAATGGCTGATAAACATATATAGAGATGTTCAAAGTAAATAGTCATCAGGCAAATACAAATTAAAACCAAGGTAAGATTTAATCACACACTCAAATGGTTAAAATTAAATCAGAAAATACAAGTTTTGACATTAATGTCAAGCAATAGGAAGTCTTATATATTATAAAGCAACTTTTCAAAACTGTTTTGACAGTTGTTATAAACAAATAAAGGAAAATATATGCCTAGCAATTCTACGCTTAAATATTCATCCAAAATGAAAATATATGCCCCCAAAACTTGTATACTAATATTTATGGCTGCTTTATTCACAATACCCAATGCTCAACAGCAGGCAAATGTTTTGGGTATACCACATTATATGGGTACACTAGCATACTATCCAGCAATGAAAGCACACTACAGGTACATTCAACTATATGCATGCATCTCAGAAACATGCTAAATGAAAAAAGTTAGATGTAAGGGAAAATAGCAAAGCCAGGCACAGTGGTGCATGCCTGTAACCACAGTAGCTCAGAACGTTGAGGCAGGGAGGTCTTGAGTTCAAAGCCAGCCTCTGCAACTCAGTGAGGCCCTAAGCAAACTCAGTGGGACCCTAAGAAAACTCAGTGAGACCCTGTCTCTAAATAAAATACAAAAAAAGGGCTGGGGATGTGGCTCAGTTGTAAAGCATCCCTGGGTTCAATCCCTGGTACCAAATGGGGGGCAAGGCAGAAGCAAAGCAAATACTAGTTCAATAACAAATAAAAAAAAATGACCCAATTCAAAGCAAAAGTGCAAAGAATTTGAACAGATATTTCTCCAGAGAATATATATGAAAGGTTAACAAACACATGTGATGTTCAACATCACTGATCATTAGAGTAATGCAAGTTAAAATGACAATGAGTGGGGCTAGGGTCATAGCTCAGTGGTAGAGTGGTTGCCTAGCACATGTGAGGCAATGGATTCAATCCTCAGCACCACATAAAAATTAAATAAATAAGATAAAGGTATTATGTACATCTACAACTTTAAAAAATTAAAAAAGAAATGGGTCTTTAAAAAAAACTACAATGAGATATCATCTCACACTCATTAGGAGGATTACCATTTTAAAAAAACACAAAGAAAGTTAAGTATTGGCAAGGATATAGAGAAATCAGAACCTCTATGCACTGCTGATAGGAATATAAAATGGTGTATCTACTGTGGAAAACAGAATGTCAGTTCCTGGGAAAATTGATACATCAATTATACTTTTGGATATATATCCAAAGAACTGAAAGCAGGATCTCTACAAGATATTTGTACCCATGTTCATAGAAGCATTATTCACAATACTAAAATGTGGAAGCAATCCAGGTATCCATCAACAGGTACGGATAAGCAAAAGTACTATAAACTTACAATGGCACATTTTCAGGGTAAAAAGGAAGGAAATTCTAACACATGCTACAGTGAGGATAAGCCCTGAGGTTACAATGGTAAGTGAACTAATCCTATAGCACAAAAAGACAAATACTATATGTTTCCACTCACATAAGGTAGTTGCAATAGTCAAAAATCATAAAGATGAAAAGTAAAATGGTGGCTGCTAAGGGCTGGGGGAAGGAGGTAAAGGGTAATTATTGTTTAATGAGTACTGAATTTCAGTTTTACAAGACAGAAGAGTTACAGGGATGGATGGAGGTAATAACTACACAACATTACGAATGTAATTGTTAATGTGGTAAATTTTATTTTATACGTATTTTACCAAAATAAAAAATAACATATTTTTTAAACAAATAGAGATAGATTGCTGGTGGAGACAGGGTATCTAGTCAGGGATGAAATATTTCAAAATTAGATTATGGTGATGACTACACAGCCTTATGAAGATAACAAAAAAACACTAATTTGTACACTTTCAATGGGTGAGTTAAATTGCATGTTGTATGAACTATATATCTCCATATCCCAAGAGAGATATAAAAAGGAATTATAAGGTATTTTATCTCCAATTCAAAAATATTTTCAGCTTACATACTCTTCAATAAATAACAAGGGGCTCACAAAAGAACAAATATTTTATGACCGCATGTATATGAAACTCTTAAAAAAGGACAAATCTAATCTACAATTACAAAATGCAGAAAAGGATTGTTTGGGTTAGGTAGCAAATGATGGGCAGGCAAGTAAGAGAATTTAGGAATAAGGATTGCGGTGGTGTTTACATGGGTACAAACATCTGTCAAAAATCATCAACTTTTACACTTAGAATAGGTTAATTTTATTGTACTTAAATTATACTTCAATAGTTAATTTTTTAAAAAGAGCCACAAAGATATCTCAACTATACTACAATGACTAAAATTAAAAAGACTAAAAACACCAAGTGATGGCAAGGATGTAGAACAACTGGAATTCTCATGCATTGCTGATGGGAATGTAAAATAGTGAACTACTCTGGAAACAGTAGTTTTTTGCTTGTTTATTATTGTCGTTTTTTGGGGTGGAGGGTAAGTAAGTCTCCCTGTGTTTCCGAGGCTGCTGGGGAGCTCCTGGGCTCAAGCAATTCTTCCACTTCAACCTCCCAAACAGCTGGGCCCATCAGCATGTACTACTTTTGCACCCAGCTGTTTGGCAATTTTACATAAAGTTAAACATACACTTACCATACAATTCCACAATTTCAGTCTTAGGAATTTTCCCAAGAGAAATAAAAACATATATCTGACATGTATAAATATTTATAGCAGACTTATCCATAACAGCAAAACATAGATAGAACCAAACTTCCCATAAATCTATGAATAGATTGTGGTATCACAAATGAATATTATACAGTAATAAAAAAAATAACTTGCAACAATATGGATGAATCTTGTATACATTATGCTGACTGAACAATGCAGGGCATAAAAGAGTGTATACTCTATGATTCCCTTTATGCATAAAGTTGTAGAACGGACAAACCACTAATCCATAGTACCGAAATTTAGATCAATAGTTACTTGATATAGTGTTATGATTATTAAGTGGAAAAAGAAAAAAAGATGTTTGACACAAGGAAATCTTGATGGGGATGGGCAGTTGAAT